TAAAAAAAATTATTTCATCATATGTTATATGAAATGGAGTTTACAAAAAAATAAAAACAAAAAAATGTTATTTAAAATAAAAAAAATTTTAAATTTAAATTTTTAGTGTAAATAAATATATTAAAAACATTAATTCGATGAAATTGATCAATTTTATAATACGAAAAATTTGTTTATTATTTATTAATAATGATTTTATTATTAAAAGTCAAAATCCAGTTCTTAAATAAATTAGAAACTATAAAATTTTTGATCAAAAAATTTTTCATTTTTTGAATACAAAAGTTTAAATAATAAATTATTCAATTGTAAGCAGGTTTTTTAGTATTTATTTCAAATAATAAAATTCCATACAAGCTTGAAAATTATGTACTCATTTATTTTATATAGTAAAATAAATATATTAAAATATATAAATAAATATTTATTTCGTCATAAAAACACGTCACTTTCGGCAAGAAAATATTGTCTTTAATATTAATTTACATTTTATATATTTTTTTAATAAAATATATAATTAAATAAAACAAGAAAGATCTTTATTTAAACAATTTTTGATATTTTACAATCATTTTTTTAATTACTATTTTATTTTCAATTTTTTTATATTTGCTAAATTTTTTTTCTATTTTTCTATCTATTTTATTCTTTTCTTTCATCTCAAATATGTATTTCATACCACTAATTTCGACCTTTTTTGTAATAATTCTGAACGTATTCCATCCTTTTGGAGAGGACTTCTTTAGACATCTTCGCCTTCCACCTCATTTTTTGGAACAATATTGATTCTAATAATTATCTTTGGATGATTATTTGTGTTTCAGTGAGATTTGGTGCGTAAGGCTGCCAATCCAACTTTATATAACCTTTAGAATCAACAAATATTTCGAAAGACCACTGGCGTTAAGTTTCTGGCAATATTTGAAACAGTTGTATAGTAATCCAATAAAATAAATAAAATAAAATAAAATTTTATATAGCAAAAAGTATTTGATCATTTCCTATTTAAATAGAGTTTTTCAGCCATACTAAACCATTTCTCTTTTACTGTAGTTAACATAAAATTTTTTTTAACTTTAATTATATCACCATCAATTGATAAATTACTTATAAGTCCAATTAACCTACCTGTATCTGTAGTACCATTTCAATTTTAAAATGACCTGCATTAAGGTTACTATGCCTGAGTAGCGAAAATGAATGTAGTCATTTGCTTTAGTTGAGAACTAAATGGTGCGATGTGTTTTTAACTTGAATGCCAATTATGTGGTGTCATGTGTCCAAAAATTTTGGAATTTTTTCTATTCAAAGCTATTTGTATTTGTAATGTATTGTAACACCTGATGACGGAATGAATAATAGGTAAATTCATTTGACCCAATTGGCGACGACAAGCAATCACAGCAAAACTAATGATAAAAATTTGATTTGCAATTTTCGGAACATTAAATAAGTCAAACTCAGCTAAATACTATTTAATTTGAATTGTTTTCCTTGAGTCAAGATAATTCATTAGAATTACCAATGATCCAATGAATGATCCAAGCTGTTCATGGAAGAGTATTTGATACCATCTTTATGTCACAACAAATAAAGTGTCTTAAAAATTTGCTCTTAATATTATTTTTCTTATTTAAATATTTAATATTATTAAATGGAAATCGTAATCAGAATTTTTATTTGTAAGACAAAGATATATTTAGAATAAAGAATTTGGTTTATATTTCTTATATGGGAATGTACATACAAGAGTAATTTTATATCAAAATCCCCTTGATAAAAAAAATCCTATTTTTGGATATGAAGATTTGCGTATGATTGCCACTCGTATATACTCGTAAAAGGTTTCTTGTCATAGAATTTAAAATTCCTTGACATTTATTAGTTATATAAACATAAAGTGTACAATTATCTTATATATGTATGTAATCAAAATATTGCATGCGCCGTCGTAGCATATAGGTTGGCCATCGAGCCATTGTCAAAAGGCGGTGACATTCTAGATAACTAAAGTAAGGCTGTATAGTAACTACAAAGACTAGTTTTTATTGAAATAAATTTTAGCGGCTGAACATATAGTTGTTTTCTATGTTGCCATATCAGTGTTCACCATCAGTAGTGTTTAGATATATTTAACAGGTTCTACTTGGAATGAGTCATTATTTTTGTACAAATAGGCTTTGAAATGCACACACTCGCGATAGACAGCTCTATATGTAAATATTATATATTATATGATATACATTATATATTGCATATATACTTATTATTATATATAACATACTATTATTACATATTATATATTAATACAGACTTGAACCTACTAAAACCAACTCTAAGTAATGACTGGGTAAAATTTTCACAACACTGTGGAAACTCCATTCCAGTAATAAGAGGAGGAGAGAGGATATGGGATAGAAGCGTAATACCTAGGTTATATATAGTTATTAATCTAAAAGGAGCTCTTGAGCTATAACTGATAATGGAAATTATATATTATATATTATATTATATATTGTTATTAATTTAAAAGGAGCTCTTGAGCTATAACTGATAATGGAAATTATATAAATACACAGACTATAATATAACCATATCCTATATGAATTATTATATATATATGAAATATTATTGTTTCTATATATGTTTCTATTTTCTAAGACACATATCATATTTAGATATACTGTAATATATACACTTTTAAATACATGTCATTTATTTAAATTGTTGATTTTATTTTTATGTTTTCAGGGTTTCAATTATTTCAATGTAAATTGAAGAAAATAGAATATAAGTATATGTAAATATAATATATATTATATTAATAGTTAATATATTCGTTTTTTATCAGGGTTTTTGGAAACTAATTAACACTCACCTTTTACCAACCTTGAATTATTTTAATTTGTAATAAACAAGTAAAGGCAAAAAACCACTTTAAGTATATTTATAAAATAAACGAATTAATTTTTAATGACATTTTCTCCAATTTTGGGTTTTTTACGCCTGAGCTGGAGAGGTACACGGTCGGAATAGATTAAAATTTAAATTAAATATTCTATTACATAAGAATAAAAACACAAGCTTTAAGAATGATTTACAGCAATTTTTATTTTTTATTGCTATATAGGTTATTTTTTATATATTATATGTAATCAAAAATTAATTTGTGAAAACAAAAATATGTAGCGAATTTACAGTAGAAGTTGCCATATATTTTAAATATACCGATAAGCAAATTTACCATCGAAAAATGTGGTACCACATAAAAAAAAAATAGCAATAAGTTATGCATCTTAAATTTTAGAAAATTTATAAGATGTTTAATAACCCTTGTTACTTTATTTTAAATTATATACTTTTTACTAAGAAGATTAAAGTCCCTTTAATAAAAAATGCGTATAATATTTTTTATAGTTTGAATTCTGTTGTAGAAATAAAGAGAGAGACCATAAAAAAATTATTGACCTAATACGTCAAAAACAATAATTTACGTTTGTATTTAAATTAATGTCCAAAAATAACTAAATTATTTTATAAAAATGAATTAGACATTTTATTGTAGTTCACAAAATCACACATATTAATAATATTGAGACATATAGACGACATTCAAATCAATTAAAGTAACCGAGTTAATACTCGTAATGGGCCTTATACACATCTTAAGCTAAACTATTTGAAGTTTCTAATAAAATTTTCCAAATTTACAATATTTAAAACGATAATATGACTTTTTGTAGCATATGACTGGAAGGTATTGATTTTATTTTAGAAGACTGTAAGACTGGAAAACTTGTCCATAGCTGTGAATTATTGTTCAATAAAAGCGTTGCTCTAGGGACTAAAAAATTCTGGATAAATAAAAATACTTTTTTAACGTTTAAGATGCTCACAATTGCATCATTTTATCTGATGACTTTAAAATAGTTAGTGGCATAGGCAATTATCTCATCTTTAATATTATCTCATCTTGGAAGAGATGATCGTTATTTCATAGGTATATACACTTACTATCGGTCAGTCAAACTGTTTTAAGTCCTTGAGTTCAATCTACTTTACATCCATAAATAGTCTTTCATTTTTCAAAGATCTTAGCCAACTTTAGGAACTAATTCTAAAGAACATTTTAAGCTTTACCAAAGGCTTTACCATAGGTAAACCTATGGTAACACAATAAGCTAATAGATCTGAGTAATCTGAGTTAATCTTTAGGATCGCTAGTATAACCTAACCTAACCTGAAAGTTTGAAAGTTCTAATTTGTAAAAAGTTCTAAAAAATCTTAAAGTTTCACAAACATTTTCACCGACAGAAAAGTTAACTTAAATTATAACCCGAATGTGTATTTTACCATATATGACATCAGTATGGAAATAAGTAGGGGAGCAGTTTATTTAAATCAACTATTTGCTTAATGATCTGCTTTGTTGCTTTGTTCAAATAGTTTCCCATTTTTAAACAATTAATGCTCATTGGGTTCATTTTCCATGCACAACGTGCTTCATTCTCATGTTGATTGTTATAAACTAATTACAATTGAATAATTATTGTAATATTATTATTAACTTTGTATTTGGCGTGTTTGACATTAAAGTGGCACGCAACGGGAAGTGGTGATGCTTATACCTAACGCTTTATGACCGTTTCACATTTAGTTATATTAACTAAATTTGAAACAACTTCAACAACAAAAAACACAGCACTTGTTTAACCACAAACTTCAACAGACGTGAGATAAATCAGAAGTACAATAAAAACATAAACAAAAAAATAAAAAAATGAACTGTATAGAACCTGTTAAAAATTTGAATACAATTATTTTTGATTAAAGTTTAAATTCTTTATAAACATTTTGAAATGTTAGCAACATGCTGCTAGCGACATGTGTATGAACACAACTGCATTCGCATGAGCAATGTTGCTGGTCAGTTTTCTAGCTGGAATTGGATTTTTGGCTGAGCGCTTTAGTTGATCGTGTTATTTGGTGTATGGCGTGTGGTGTCGTCGGATTCGAATCCGTTGCGGTTGCGTGAGTGCTAATCAAAATCAGTTGAATTGATTACAGAATTTTTTTTTGAAATAAAAACTAAGCTTAGTTCTTAACAAAGAATTGAAAAATATATTTTACCAAAATAAAGTTAATTTTACAAAATAAACGAAAAATATATATTTTATGTGAATAATCAATTACGCACCGAATGCCCACCGTTCAAAAGTAACGAATGTGTATTAAATGTGCGGAATTTAATTAAATTGTCATTTTGAAACGGTATGAAGCGATTATGCATATTTAAATACTTTTTATAGTATTTTTTTTTTATCAATATTTTTACCGAATAATTGTTAATGCCGGAAGTATTGGTTTTTAGTAAAAAAATATTTGTTCACTTGTTGAATACAGCGAACAAAAAAGGAATGATAACAAAAATGATAGAAAAGAATTTAAAAGCAAAAAACAGAAAAAAGAGATAAAACAAATAATTTGAAGTATTTAGTAAAGTATTTAGCTTGTTTGTGCACAATGTTTTGTATCTTGTATCTAATTGCATAAACGAAAAGTATCTGTTAACACGTACGTATATGTATGTATCTTTATACGAATATCTTCTACCTATGCATGCAACTATGCACCACTATACGTGAGTGTGGTTATGTACAATGGGCGATGAGTCTTCCTTGCCTTCAGAACGTGTAAATTATAACCTTTAACATGTTGCCATCATTAAACATTATTGTTAACTTAATTATGCTGGTCGACTCGGTCGGCTCGGTTGACTTACTCCGTTTGCTGGTCTCGTGGGTTTTAGGTATGCGTTGCAACTGCTGGTCAGCGGACAGATACAATAGTTCAGATAGCAGTCAACAGCTAACAGCTAACAGCTAGCAGATAGCTTGGTGGTATTGGTTTGTATTGGTTTGTACAATTAAAAAGCAAGGCAATCGTGTGATAAGGCAAACCAGTATACTTCGTACAACAAATTAAAATTAGGCGCGAGAGCTACAAAATGTGCTTATTGATTCTCTGAAGCTCAGATTGTCGGTCTTTCTTTTCTTTTTCACTTAGGTCTCTAGAGATGTGCTCTCTATATGGCACTATTCTCCAATATATATTGTATTATTTGGTTCTGTTGTCAGATCAAGTGAGACACTTGTTGCTGTTGAAGTTGCAGTCAATCCCAACAACAACAGTAACAACAGCAGAAGGTACAAGAGCAGCAACAGATACAGCAGCTGACACAAGTGGTTTGAGTATTTAAACAAAAAAAAAAAAGAAAAAACCACTGCAAACAGTTGTTGTTAATCATTAAATTAATTATCAATAATTTTTCAGCTTCGTCTTTTGTAAAATTATTTATTTTCATTTTCAGTTTTTAGTTTGTAGTTTGACGATTTGTGCGGTTTCATTTAGTCGTGAATTATAGTATTCATTTACACATTTAAAAACGAATTTACAAACACTTTTTGCTGAAATAGGGAATGATTGCTTTACTCGTACTTAATTATAATTAAAAGTAATATTTTTTAAAAATGATTTATAATTAAAAACAAGTATTATTTTTGCTGCAATGTAATTACGAATGTTATTGCGGTTCTTTAAACAAATGAACAATATTCACCCATGTGTACTGCTCTCTTTAATATACTTGTATAAACATTTTATTGATTAATTCGGTCTGGTTAATTTTTTAGACATATTAACATTTATTCAATATAAAATAGTATATTAAGCGAATATAATACACCTCACTCTGGATGACAATAAAATATATAAGTACTTATTTGTATCTCATCATGTTGCATTTATACACGTATGTAGACATTTGAATGGTTGTGAGATGTGAAGATAGTATTCAATACATAATACAAATGAGGTTTGCTTTTTTTTTTGGAAAGCGACTTAATTATTAAATTTGTTAAGAATATATTTACTAACAGTAAAATGTTTTCCTCAATTTTAGAACTGTTTTTTAGTTATTAACATCCTTGCTATATTGTTATACTATAAGAAATAACTATATTATAAACACATTTTGGATGTGATAGCTATATGGCACTCAAAGTCTCACAGACTCTAATATATTAAAGGAAAATCTTTTTATATTATGTCCAGTTTCTGTTCAGAATGAGAGTAGTGAACTGAACAATATGACTATTGATTGGATACCAATTGACATATAAACTACCATTGTAACCAAAAAGTTATTAACATACCAATCAATATCCATAAATCAAAATTCGCTGCCTTCCCAACTCAACTCCTCTAATGTCTTTCAAGCAAAAATATTTGCAATTGGGTAGGCATGTAGGATGCCAATCACAGAACATACGATCCAGAATTGTATTGTTATATTAGTTTATAGCTGAACTATAATTCAAATATTGCGCTCAATTCAGCTATAACAAACTCATAATTAGTGGAACAAAGTGGCGGTTAGTGCTTAAACAAAAAAAGCTTAAGAACCTTAAACGAATGGTTTAACAATTCTCTGATTTAAGTTCATTCCGGGTCAACCAAATATAAAGAGAAATTAAATACACGATTAACTGGTGAGAAACGATCTACCATACAAGATGCTCACACTACTTAATGTGGTCGAACGTTCCATTAATACGAAACACTCTAAAATAGTGGATTATTGATATAAGAGTCCTGCAATATATAGCACTTGTTACACACTAAGGCAGGATTTCAATCTTAAACAAACATTAATGCTGATTAACAGATATTAAAGGAATGTTTATAGACTGGTAGCAGTTATCACTGGATTCTGGCCCATTGAAAAGTAGGCGGGTGAAAAATTTTACTGATGGATATTATTTTTACTACAGATATAGTTTTTTTTTATCTAGTCTGATTGCAATGCATTAATTAGTTAATAATGATGCAGTACGGGTGGGGAATACATTTTAATTATATTTCATTTCTGTTATTTTGATAACCATTTTATTTATAATTTTATTAATTTTAAATCCTATTTTCTTACTATTAAAAATATTTACCCGTATTTCATTTCAATCTTCACTTTAACGAAAAAGTATCTCAATAAAGAATGCGAAAACTATTTTGTTTCGCACTCAAGGTGACATGATTCAGCTATATTTATACTTAACTTATTAAATTATTTCAGGAATTGCAAAATAAGTATTCATTGGAGCTCTACATATCAATATAGAGCATTACTATTATTGTTAATATTGTTATTGTCCATTATGTAAGCAAAAAATTGTTGTTATATTTTTAATTATGAAATACTATCTTTTTATTGCCAATAATGCGATGCTTGTTAAAGATATTTGACACTTTCCCATTTATTGAAAATGAGCTCAATAAAACAAGTAATAGATTTATTAATTTTTTATTAGTTTTTGGAATTGAAGATACAAAAAGATATAGAAGGTGGTATATGAAAAAAATACAATTTAAAAATATAAAATATGAAATAAATTCCGCTTTACAGAAGTGAAATTAACTTCTTCTAAAATTTTTATAGGAATCAAGTTATGGTCATAAAAATTTTAATTAAGGAATACTTAAGAAATAAATTAATACTAGCAATGCGAAATTCAATTAACGTTACAAACCATAAATTTGGAAAATAATCTTAGAATATATAATGTTGTATCATTCATCGCATAGACAATGTAGAAAAGGTATGACTCGGCCGTACAAGTTGAAGGGAATTAACGCGGTTAATCCAGAAAGTATGGCAGCTCTTTTAGGAGTTTTTGAACTTTAAAAACTTGTATTTTCCTTTTTACAGTAGGTCAATGACACGTAGCACGGTTGCCACTTTATGGTACTTTTTTTTCGTTTGGTACTCATGTTCAAAAAATGGTACATTTTTGACGACCCAACTTTATTGTGGATATTTCAAATTAATTTTTTTTATAATTGCAACCTTGCACTATTTTATATTTTGTTCATTTATAACACTATGAAAAACACGGAACGAAAAAATAAGAAGGTCCAAAAAAATTTTGGACCTTTTTTTACAGAAATGGTACCTTTTTAAACCAATTTTGGTACAGCAAAAAATGTTCAAGTGGCAACCGTGCACGTAGGATGACATAGTTTTCTCCCATTTTGCAGAGCTATATATAGCTATTATATAGTTTGTACTCTATATATATTTTTGCAAACTGTCAATGAGCACATGTAATATCATTCCATGCTTAAAAACAAAGTAATCCTTTTTGACTTTGATGATGTTTATGGCAAATTGTTGAGAGTTTGGTGATTATACATATTCTACATCACAAAAAAAGTTAAGAAGCGAAAAATAGTTGTCTAAAAACAGCTGTCCTAGCAGTTATTCAATGTATATTCTTTCGATTACAAGGTTAATGTCGTAAAAAAGTAAACTCTGAACTAAACAAAATACCGTGGACGATTTTCTGCTTAACATATATTATAGCAATGGTATTGCCAAATCAAATTCATGAAGTGAGTAACCTATACACGTAACAACTTTGTATTCTAAATAGGTCTGCATTTTTGAGTCATAAGCAAAAGATCTTGAAAATACATCGACCATTTTATATTAAACTTTCTTAACAGTTTGTCAACAATGACTTCAACATAATACGATGCATTTTAAGTATTAATATACTTGTAACTACATTAAGAGTACTGTGACACAGCACTTATATGGTTTTTGTGAGCACTAAAGGTTTTGTAAGATAAACCAAATCCCATTGCATACCATAGTTAAAGCAACTGACTGATATAGGGAATAAAGGGAGTTTAAAGAAATCCACTATTCAGTTAAGCGAATTTTTTTGTAGTACCACATTAAATATCTTTATCTTTACTATATGATTTATTACTGCTACTTATATTTAGAATCTTATTTCAGTGTTATAATATATCAGTAACGGTATCCAATCCCTCTGTTATCCTTGATCATATTACCCATACAATCCAACACAAACAATTTTTTCTAATTAAATATTTTCGTGTAGACTTTGAATCAGTTTTCAAAAACTCCTCTTAAATGAGTCTCTCTATACGCCCCTGCAATATATGGGTGTAAATATTTGATGCTTAATTATTGTATTGTTTTTAAATAAATTTTTCAATTCAGTTATTTTTCATTGAAGAATTCAAAACACAATTCAAATAAAATTTTTATTTTGTTTATATCTCTGCGCTTGAACAATTTTATTTGCTTTTATGATCTCAAGAATATATTTTTGAAATAATGTCTTCATTATATATTTGTATATGGAGTCAATGTATCATAAGTTGGAAAGAAGGTTAAGGCTTTT